AAAATTATGGTCTATTACCAACATTTACTCGAAGTTCTGCGACCAACCGACATAATAACGCCAAACATTCGGTAGAATTTATAGAACAAATATATGTATATATTTTTTATATTTATTTATATATATATATATATATAATATGTATATACTCCTATAAATACACATAATAAAAAGCAAATTAATAAAAATTAAAATATTTTTTCATTTGATATATGTTGAGTATTTGAATTTTTAAGAAAAAATTATTGCGAATGTTAAATGAGACGTTGCCAGTCAATAAATAAATTGAACATGAAAAGTATATATATAAATATATATATTTATAAACATACATATAATCAAAGAAATAAATAAATAAAAATAAATATATTTATATTTTTTAAAAAATAAGCATAAAAGAACACAGACGACAAAAAATTTAGAAAACATAAAATAAATTTTTGTTTGATGTATATTGTTTGTTTTAATTTTTTTTTTGAATTATTGAAAATGTTAAATGAAATGTGAATGCTGTCATACGGTACGATGCGATATTTTATTTGCTTACAAACTACAGTAATTAGACATGAGTGTGTAATTGAATGATAAAAAATAGCACATTTGCAATGGAAATATTTTTATCAAATGAAACTACTATGTGTGTGTGTGTGTGTCTTTGCGCGCACGTCGGTTAATATAGTCAAATTATAGTAAAAATAATAATTTCAATTTTTTAAGTTTTTTATATATTATTTTCAAATAATGTCTAAATAAATTTTCAATGTTCGTTCTCTACCATGGCTTATTTGACAACAACAATATATCGTAATTAACTGAAGATCAAAAATGCCACATGTTTTTGAAAAGAGTAATAAATTTTCCTAATGTTCCAGGTAAAAATTGTAATATTTTTCACGGTGTTCCGATCTCTCCTTCTTATCGTTGTCCTCGCTGTATTTTCTCTGGCTGGTATGTTTGACTTTTTTTGTATTTTATAATTCAATTTTTAAAAAATGAAGAAGAAATGACTTTAGAGTCATCATCCATGAAAGCACATAAAACCTTGAAAGAATGTACTGTGGCTGCGACCAAATGAATCAAATACTTGGATTTATTAAAAGAACAGTGGTCAGCAGGGAGAAATTGATCATTCTAAATCTGTTCAAAAATTTAATTTGACCCCATTAACTTCTGTGCTCAAGTTTGGAAGCAAGAAGGACAAGGACATTTTGGAGAAAGTGCAGCGAAGAGCAACAAGATGATTAGAGGACGTAAATATCGTGACTACACTGATAGATTGAAAGAATGTGGATGGACAAAACTAGAAACAAGAAGTTGTAGAGAAGATGTGATACAGGTATACAAATTGATTACCAAGAAAATAAATACTGTTCATTAGATTTTTTTAAACTGGAAAATAGAATAAGATTACGAGGCTACAGATAAATTAAAAAAATAAAAAGTGACACCAAGCATAGGTTCTTTAGCAGTAGAGTGATGGATGAATCTCCTCAGAATCAATCAACAGTTCCAAGATTGAGCCCAGAATTTTAAGATATTAGGACACTAATCTTGCAGTAGTTCTTACATAGACTCTATTCCACTAAACCACTTTAAACCCTGTTATGCTATGTTATGTTATTCATATCCAATCTTCTAACCACTATAAATACGGAAATCATAAATGGGATAGAAAAAATTATTTTATTTTGTCAACAGAGTTAAATTACTCGAATTGAAAGACAAAATGAGTCTTTCACAGCATTTATGTTTAATATCATTTCCGCATATCACTCTGATTGAAGGGTTTTGGCGTCGGCAGTGGTGCAAGTCTATTTGGCCAATCCAACATTCCAAAATGGAGCAAGAGGTATTTTGGAGTGGCAACATTCATCAAGGATTATGGCATGCGGTCCTACCACATTAGTCTACGATTTTTATGTTGGTCACATTTTCTTTCTTGCTTATTTACTCTTGCAGTTATTTTCATTATTTTTATTTCAGATTTAGCTTAACTAATTAAATTCTGTCAGCATCATTTGTATTCGTACATTTATAAGCAGTTAATTAATTTTTAATTTTTGTGACAGTTTTTCACCGTTTTATAACATTGAACTCTGAAAATTATCTTTCACATTTTATTTATTTGATTAAATTCAAGTAACTTCAAACCAGTTAAACTACTAAAACCAGTTGAACTATGAAAAAAGGAGTTAAACTATTAAAAACCGGTTGAACTATTAATTTAAACCATTTGTTTCAAAAAAAAAACAGTCAAGGTAGATGATGTTTGAGCAAGAGTTGTACAATGAGTTGAATACAGTCCTCAGATCTTTCTTCCATTCATTTGATACTGACGTCAGTTTCAATGGTTTCATGATATATTTATTTTTCTTTTTCCTATAAGGATTTTATACTGAGTCACTGAACGGGAAATGTATATTTGATTTCAAACAGCAACTTTTATGCACTGATAATATGAGGTCGATGGCTGATAGTGATGATTATATGAGTAGGAGAGATTTATTTCTTTGAAAATAATGATTATACAGCGTTACATCTTCCATCGTAACCTGCTGGCTAATTTTTTGACGGGACCGCCCAGCTGGTTTGAATTTCTGCAACGATGAGGAAGCCCAACTCTTCAGTACTGTTTTCCTTAATAACTTAAGCAAGAAAGAGCGGAGAAGATCTGGTCTGTTTACGTTTATTTTTAATTTTTCTGTTTCTCATTCATATTTTTCTTTTGTGTGAGTGTAATCTATTTTTATTAAAATAAATATGAATGTGGAGTTTTGGGTTATAAATCATTAGAATTGAAGTCATAACTAATTATTGAGCAAATTCTGTTATGTCTATTTGAATTGAACTCTTTAATGCTTATAGTGAAATTGCTTGTGTTAGCATATGAAACTGAATTTTAAAGCAGCTTTTTAGAGTTTAATTTTTTAAATGAAATTTCAATAACTGCATCACAATATCAAATTCATTAATTTATAATGTACATAATCATTTCATAATTTTTATGATTTATTCATGTTTAAATGATGTTTCAAGATTTAAAATTTTTTTTAATTTTTTTTATTGTTTATTTTATTTTTTTTAAATTTAAATTAAAATCATGATCGAATATTTCACTAAATAATTGTGCCACTAACATTTGCATAAATAGGACAACATAGACGAACTTGAACGCAATGTCTTGAACAGGATTTTTTTCTACAGAAACAGCCCTCCTTCATGTTCACGACCAACTTGCTAACATATGTAGAAGCCAAAATTGTGCTGTCATGGTCAACCTGGACGTTTCTGCAGCTTTTGATACCATTAATCATCAGATGCTTTTTGACAGACTTGATCATCTTGAAAATTAAAACATTATTCCCAAGAACGTCGTTTTGTTGACCAGGCTATCAAATTCAATGCAGTATACATATAGAACTGGCCAAATTATGTCAAGCAATCCTTATGTCAGACGATCTTATTGCTTGGCGACCTGACATCCGGCGGTCTTTAGTCCGGTGGTGTTTAGCTTGCGACCTTATCACCTTGATCCAGTAGTCACATCATTTACAACAATATTTTCTGCAGGCGTGTGAATCACGTTAGCAGGGATTACGTTTTACGCGATGTGCCATTAAAAAGTTTTTAAATTCATCTACAAAAAAACAGACTGACTGATGAACAAACTAAACTCAGCCATGAAGTCATTTTTTGACGAGGTAGGACTGGATAAAAACAACAGAGAGACAAGGAAACAGCACAGTACATCTACAAGTTCCTGGAAGATTGTGGCGGTGTGGAAGCTTTGGAAAATGGGAGACCCAGGACTTTGCCTCCTCCTGTCATCAGCCAACCCATGCCACCACTAGCTGGTTTAGCTGAAGGTAACAAATCTCTGAGCGTTCATTCCCCAATAAAAAATCTGGCACTTCCTCCACACGAACGTTCAACTTGTATGTGCTCCGCTTCGTGAGGTAAATTACGTTTCCGAGTAACATGAAAAAGGTTATTCGCATTCATTTAAATTTAATAACATATGAAAGATAGTATTTATTTTTCAACTCCATTAAAATCCTTACCTGATAATTTTGTAAAATGCCATAGACGAGGTAGCCATACTTGAAGGTAGCTTTGAAAAAAAAACAAAAAAAAAAACATGAAAATAATTAAGGTGGAGACTCCGATGAAGAAAATGGAGCCAGTAGTCATTTGCGCAATAGTCTTAAAATAAAGATTTAATATTCAAGTGATTAAAGTTTAAAAGCTAGGCAAAAAGTTGATCTTATATATAACTAAAAAAATATTTCACGTTGAACAATTAAAATTTAAATTCAATAACATATAAAAGATAGTATTTATTTTTCAACACCATTAAAATTTTTACCTGATAATTTTGTAAAATGCCATAGACGAGGTAGCCATACTTGAAGGTAGCATTAAAAAAAAAAAGTAAAAACATGACAATAATTAAGATGGAGATTCCGACGAAGAATATGGAGCCAGTAGTGTGCCGATGTAAAAAATATTTTTCACGGTAATATTTATTTTTTGATTGGTAACATCACATTTCATTTAACATTCGCAATAATTTACTCTTAAAAATTCAAATTACAAAACTTACATCCAATAAAAATTATTGGATTTTTTGATTATATGTTTTCTATTATGTTTATTTATTAGAGCCTACGCATCTTTATACACTCATATATATAAATGAATATATGTTGGTTATAGACCATAATTTTTAAAATATTCTATAAATTCTACCGTATTTTTGGCGTTAATATGTTTTTAGTTCGTTTTATTCATTACTTCGGCTGAATATTGGCTCCATTTTCTTCGTCGGAAACTCCATCTTAATTATTTTTCTAGTTATTATCTTGTTCATTAAGTTTCAAAATTTTATATGTTGCGCAGTAAACCGAAGAGAAATTTTTAGAGTTTTTTAAAATGCCATAGACGAGGCAGCCATACTTAAAGGTAGCTTTAAAAAAAACAAGTAAAAACATGACAATAATTAAGATGGAGACTCCGATGAAGAAAGTGGAGTCAGTAGTGTGCCGATGTAAAAAACATTTTTCACGGTAATATTTATTAATTGATTGGCAACATCACATTTCATTTAACATTCGCAATAATTCACTATTAAAAATTCAAATTACAAAACTTACATCGAATAAAATTATTGTATTTTGTAATTATATGTTTACTATTATGTGTATTTATTAGAGACTAAGCATCTTTATACACTCATATATATAAATAAATATATGTTGGTAATAGACCACAATTTTCAATATTCTATAAATTCTTCCGAATGTTTGGCGTTAATATGTTTGTAGTTCGTTTTACAATTCAGTTAGTTGGTAGAACAAGTCTTGAACTACATTTCTTTTAACTTATAACTCGAGCTACAAAAACGAACTATAAACATATTAACGTCAAACATTCTGTAAAATTTATAGAATATTGTAAATATATATAAATATACGATATATATATGTATATATATATATATATATATATATATATATATATATATATGTATGTGTGTTTGTGTATGTGTATGCACGTGAAATTTGAACGTGAAAATTTTTCATTACTTCGGCATAATATTGGCTCCATTTTCTTCGTCAGAAACTCCATCTTAATTATCTTTCTAGTCATTATCTTGTTCTTTAAGTTTCAAAATTTTATATGTTGCGCAGTAAACCGAAGAGAAATTTCTATAATTTTTTAAAGATGAACATTGAGAAAATTTATTATGCATTTCAAAAACATTTTGTTTCATTTTTGATCTTCAGTCAATTGCAATTTATTGTAAATGTTAAACTAATAAAAATAAAATGTTTTTTATTTGATGTAGGTATTTGAATTTTTAAGAATATAAATTTATTTTTCTATTGTATTTTTTAAGATCAAACTCAATTAAAACATTTTTTTTCTGAGATTTATTCAAGCATTTATGACTAAAACTAAATTAAAATTTCAAATGTTTTCAAATCAAAGAGTTTTCTTCGTTGCATTCGTCATTCTTCCAATTAATTGACGGATGATCATCTGTCACTGTCATTTTTTACCTAGTTTCATAGGTAAATAAACACCTACCTTTTCCATCGTCAATAAAATAAGGTGGGCAGGAGATCCCTTGAGTAGGATTGTCGTCAGATTCTGCGCTCACCAGGATGTAATCTGACAAAACTTTAAATGATAGAGTGAGTTTTAAAAATTTTATAAAATTAAAATTTTTCGATCATATATTTCTGAGTTAGTATAAAAAATTAAATTATTCGAAGTTACATTACAAAATACATAAAATGACAAACATACCAGCAAGAGCAAACACAGCGAGGACAGCGATGAGAAGGAGAGATCGCAACATCGTGAAATTTCTCTTTCAACGTTGAAATGTATCGGCCACATAGCTTTATTTATACCAAAAATTTTACAATTTTTACATTGAACATTAATAAATTTTTTACTCATTTCAAAAACACGTTGCACATTTAATGTTCGGTTTATTGTTATATATTGGGTATGTTAAATTAAGCGTGACCGTGAATGATCATTTAAATATTTCAAGCAGGCAAACATACGCACAAATGCACACAAATATATTTATACATAAGCACACAAATATATATATATATATATATATTTATATAGATATATAAACATAGATATCAAATTATATATATATATATATATATATATGTTTGTATGTGTGCGTGAGTGCTTGCGTGAGAGTGTGTGTGGGTAAGTGTGCGTGTGTGTGTTTGGGGAGTGTGTGTGTTTATGTGTGTGTGAGTGTGTCTGTGTGTGTGCATGTGTATGTGTAGAAATGTGTATATATGTATATAAATATTGTATTCTAGGAGCGTTAACCAGGGTACAGCGGGGATGTATATGGAGGGGCACATATCTATGTGTAAGATGTCCATGCACTCGGCTGTGCCCTGAGACATGTGGCCACACCCTATATGTGTACGGCGTGTGGCCACATTTGTTAATGTGTCTATTTAATTGAGTGTGTAAGTGAGTGTATGTTTGGTTTCCAGATCATTTCATTTCATTGATTCTGTTTCTTCAGTTCTGTATAACAGTATTGTGATATGAATTGTAGTATGGTGCGTGTTTATAAGTATGTGTGAGCATGAGTTTATGTGTATGTATTTTATGACATTTCTGTTACATCTATAGTTAGAAATTTTAGTTAAGGGTGGCCTATCCACAAGTTTACCTTTTTTGGTCATCCTTCAAAAATAAATAAAATAAATAAATAGAAATAAAAAATTATGTTTCTGAGGAATATATTCGCAAATCATTTAAATTTTCTTTTTTTCATGAAACTATTTTGTGCTGGCTGCGAGAGTTGAAATGTTTCACGAAAATTAGCTAATTTTATTGGCGGAGTGATTTATAAATAAAAATTTGAAATCCAAGCTAAATTTAATAATAGCCCGAGTAGTTGTTTGAATATAAACTCGATACAATTATTTTAAGTAGATAAATTTGAATTCCACAACATATGGAATATAGAAAAAATTTTTTTTCATTATCATCAATATCCTTACTGGATACTCTTCGTAAAATACCACAGACGAGGTAGAAAAACTTGAAGGAAGGTTCGAAAAAGAACAAAATGAACAAGAAAATGACGAGAAAGATAATTAAGATGGAGAAAGATAATTAAGATGGAGCCAATATTATTAAGCCGAAGTGATGAACAATTTTCACGATCAATTTATTTATTGGTTGGCAACGTCACATTTCATTTAACATTCGCAATAATTCATTCTTAAAAATTCAAATATTCAACATATATCAAATGAAAAATTATTTTTTATTAATTTGCTTTTTATTATGTGTATTTATATGAGTTTATATATATATATATATATATATTTGTGGGCATATGTACAAATATATTTGTATATTTGTGTGCATGTGTGCGTATGTGTGCCTGCAAGAAAATTTTAAATGATCATTCACGGTCACGCTTAATTTAACATCCCCAATATATCGCAATTAACAGATCATCAAATGCGCAACGTGTTTTTGAAATGAGTAATAAAATTTATTATTGTTCAATGTAAAAATTGTGAAATTTTTGGTATAAATAAAGCTATGTGGCCGATACATTTCAACGTAGAAAGAGAAATTTCATGATGTTCCGATCTCTCCTTCTCATGGCTGTCCTCGCTGTGTTTGCTCTTGCGGGTATGTTTGTCTTTCTTTGTATTTTATAATGTAACTTCGAATAATTTAATGTTTTATATTAATTCATAAATATATGATCTATAAACCAATTGGTCGTTTATTTAACAAATTTAGCAATTAAACCGTGTTCTTCCAATATTTTGACTACATACAAAAAAATACTTAACTACCACACTCTTATATATATTTTCTGCTTTCAAAAATGTTTTTAACTCTTCTTTCCGCTACCATATTTCTGCTTGTTAACATTCGGCAGGTTTCTGCATGTAAAAGCTGTTCAACGTTGTTTTGTTATTTTCAACTTTGTTTCGCTAGATACATAACCTTTTGTTGAAAATATCAAAATTGCAAACCTTCCTAGCAATATTTTATACATAATTTTTGAAAACACGTCAGTCTGGTCAAAACATTTTAATTTTATGAAAATTTTTAAAACTCACTCTATCATTTAAAGTTTTGTCAGATTATATCCTAGTGAGCGCTGAATCTGACGACCATGCTACTCAAGGGATCTCCAAACGTGAATGCCCATCTTATTATCTTTGTGACTGATGATCATTGTTCATGTCAAGTGTTATCTGTCAATTAACTGAAAGAATAACAAATGCAACGAAGAAAATTCTTTATTTGAAAAAATTTGAAATTTCAATTTTTAACTTAATATTTGATGTTTGAAAAAAGCAATTGAAAGAATGACGAAAGCAACAAAGAAAACTCTTTGATTTGAAAATGAAATCAAAATTTGAAATTTTTTAGCTTAATATTTGATGTTTGAAACAAAACTTAGAAAAAAAATGTTTTTATCGATTTGATCTAAAAAAATAAAAATAAATTTAGATTAAAAAAATTGAACTCTGATCTAATTTATAACAAGAGCTAGATAAAAGGATGGCTCAAGGTCTGCAAAAAACGGTTTGGCCACTAAAAAGATAATGTAACTTTACACAATTCATGGTTATGCTGGCGACCGTGTTATCCATCAGAAACTTGTTTGGAAAACTTGAAATTTGGTATGAGCATATTGTGCACCAATCTTTGTGCGATAGCAAACCAACTCCTTACTAAATTACCTGGTTTATTGTAAAATCATCACCTATGACCGAAGTTACGAGATGTTTTTTTCTCCTAGTCAGAACAGAAATTCTCCAATCATCTTTTCAGATGAAGGCAATTTGAATTTTACTTGTACTTCATTATCGCTTCATTAACTTCATTCTAACGAAACCTCGACTCTAAAAAAGCGAAGGTTTTCTTGATCAACAAAGCGACATGATCGAACAACAGCTTGCCAAATTAAAA